ACCAATCCTAAGATATTATGTCCTGACCACTGCTCCATCTCAATCCATTTTCTACTCTGAAGGGCCCTTTTAAATCACCTGAGTCAGACCTCCAAATCCTACAAATACCTTGTCTTGTACAACATTGCTAAGACTGTCAAGGGGGTGTTTTCTCTTACTACAGTAAGGGAGGGTTTCTGCGGTGATATTTTGAAGTATTCAACATCTTTTGGTCTAAATCCATCCTGAAATATGTATGAAGCTCATGGCAGTGCCTAATAAATATTTTTTGAAAGAAGTATTTAAGAGAGAAAATCAACATGATCTTGTTGATTGGATGTAGGTAGATAGATAGGAAGGTCAAGGATTCTTCAAAAGTATTAACTTGTGTCTTCACTTAAGAGGGCAAAAACAGAAGAGCATATTTTCAGTGAGAAGACAGTGATTTCAATTCTAGGTATGTTGTTTGACATTTCTGGGATGTGGAAATAGAGATCTCCAAAAAAGATGCTGTATGTTCAGTGATGAAAGACCCCCAGGTATAAGATATGCGAGGAAGGTTGGGAACTTGTTTTCTTAACTAGTGGTTCTCAAAGTATGATCTTCAAGTCAGCAACATTAGTACCACTGGGCACTTTGTGGAAATGCAAATCTTGGGGCCAAGGCCAGGCCTACTTAAATGAAAAGTCTAGGGTGGGATTCAACTATCAGTGTTTTAAGAAGTCCTCCAGGTGATCTGCTATACCATGAAGTTGAGGACCTTAAAAATTAATCAGAACGCCCAAGAACTACCAAGCTCTAAGACAAGAGACTCAGTGTTATAGAGACTTCTGGTGATAAACCTGCTAAGGTGTGCTAACATTGTGTTCTTTGCATTGCCAGGTCCTCCCTAACAGGGGACCTAAGAGGCTGTAAATGAAAGCAATGAAAGCTTTTACTCTCTGCATTTGAATGGTGGCTATCCCACTTTCTACTTACGTGTCTTAGGAGGTAAATTGCTTAACTCCCTAAGCTTAGGGTCTTCATCTGTAAAATGGGAATGCTAATGGTTCCTAGTTTGTTGAATTCTTCTGATGATTAAATGAGTTTATATATGTAAAGTGCTTAAAGCTGTAATAAGTTTGCTGCTTTTAAAATTTTTGCTCACTTAGGAAGTCACTTGTCCCTCTCCCCCCACCTTTTTTTTAACCTGCCTAACTAAATATTTAGTTTCTTTCATGTTTACCTCAAACCTCTCACCTGTAAAAAGCCTCCCCTGGTTAGTCCTAGAGTTAAGTATATTACATTGCTTGGCTCATATGAAGAATTGAATAAACACATAAGTTGACTGAATGAGCACTCTAATTCTCATTTCTTTATTTCTTCTCTGAATTTTATGGTTTTGTTATCAGTACCTCTTATTTTGGCACTAAATTGTACCTTGTTATATTTATGCCTTGCTTCCTAATCATATTATAAGACATTGGAGAGGAAGTATTGTGCTTCACTTATCTGGTCCACCTAACACAGCACCTGGCAAGGCCAACCACACAAAAAGAATTCATTAATTATTTGTGCAAAATGAGAGCTGTTTTTTGGTAACAAATCCATTTACCCTACCAAGTTTTACAATTTATTATTTTCCTCACCTCACAACCATTTCAAACTCTTAAACTTCTACTACTTCCTCCCAAGGATTACAAGATGAAAATAACAAAACATTTCCTCCATTTCTGATGTCAGCCAGTAAAATGGCACTTATTATGTTGAATCTCCATGTCAGTCTCATAAATTCAGCGTAACATTCCTGAAATTATTCCTTAAGCCATAGCTAGGGTGTTATATATGACCTGTTACTCTTAAGCCAGAATAATGGCATGCTCTCTCTATCTCTCCAGAAGGACACCTTTATGGCTAAGACACGATGTTGCTTATCCTCTGTAGCCCTATTTTACCAGCAGCTTACTTCAGCTTTCATTTAACCTATCCAGTAAGCTCACTGTTTTGTGTAGCACTGAAATGAAATTCTGATGGCACAGAGGATTTAAAATGTCCCATCTTATATAGTTATGAAGCTCCTTTAAACAGAGACAATTAATGTAATGTACATAATGAAAGGTGAACATTAGAGCCAAATAATTCTGATATCAAAATTTTAGCTTTATTACTAGTTTGCTTTGTGACCTTCAGTAAATCAATCAACATGGCTTAGCCTCTATTTACTCATCTGTAGAGAGGGACATAAATATTTACTTATGGTGTTATGCGTGTAGATTAAATAAGACAAGTTATGTATGGTACCCAGCATATAAAAAGTATTCAATATATGATGAATTATAACAAAACAAATAAACAAATAGAGCAAAGTAGTGTAAATCTCAGAAACAAAGGTCACTTTAGAGTCTAGAGACACATTGGCCTTATCAAAATATAATCTCTGGTATTGTGGAATTAGTCCTATTCCGAAATTCTATTTAAATTTTATTCGAGAATGGCCCCATCAAATCTCAAATTATTTTACGTTTGATAATTGATCTTCAAATAAGATCTCTTAATTAATTGCTTAACTGAAATATCTGTCTTACAGAGTGAGAACCTGACACACTTCTGTCCTAAGAGATTGTTCACAGTTCACATGTGACTTGGTAGACCAGGAAATGTCATAACCCCTATGCAAAGCCTGGCCACAGCTATTCACTAAGCACATCTCAGTGCCTCCTCTGCAAAACTTTGAGCGTCCTTTCTCCAGGATCTGTGAAAATAGTTGTTCTCTTCAAAGGCTTTTTTCATTTTTCTGCATAAAACTCTAGAGGGCACAGTGAGAAACTGAAAATCCAATGATATGTATTTTTTCTTTTTATCCGGAAACACACGTTAACTCAAGAGGAAAACAGAAAAGTCTTTCTGGGTAGGCAAGATCCACGTGGTCTGGATGGCAGAGATTGTTCTGAAGGGCTGTCTGGAGATAAGGCTATAGTAATATACAAGCGTGTCATATGATTTGTAAGAATATTATTTTATGGGGAAACGCTGGAAGTATTCCCCCTGAAAACTGACAAAAAACAAGAATGCCCTCTCTCACCGCTCCCATTCAAGATAGTACTGGAAATTCTGGCCAGGGCAATCAGGTGAAAGAAAGAAATAAAGGGCATTCAAATAGGAAGAGAGGAAGTCCAATTATCCCTGTTTGCAGACAACATGATTCTATATCTAGAAAACCCTATAGCTTTGACCTGAAAGTTCCTTCAGCCGATAAACAACTTTATCAAAGTTTCAGGATACAAAATCAATGCACAAAAATCACTAGTAGTCCTATACATCAAAAACAGTGAAACTGAGAGGCACATCAGGAATGCAATCCCATTCACAATTGCTACAAAAAAAAAAAAATACCTAGGAATATAGCTAATCAGGGAGGTGAAAGATCTCTACAATGAGAGTTATAAAACAGTGCTGAAAAAAATTAGAGATGACACAAACAAATGGAAAATATTCCATACTCATGGATAGGAAGAATGAATATCATTAAAATGGTGATACTGCCCAAAGCAATTTACAGATTCAATGCTATTCCTATAAAGCTACCAATGACATTCTTCATAGTACTAGATATAACTATTTAAAAATTCATATGAAACTAAAAAAGAGTTGAGTAGCCTCGGCAATCCTAAGCAAAAAGAACAAAACTGAAGGCATCATGCTATCTGACTTCAAATTATGCTACGGGGTTACAGTAACCAAAACAGCATGACACTGGTACAAAAACAGACACAGACCAAGGGAACAGAATAGACAGCCTAGAAATAAGGGTGCACACCTACAGCCAACTGATCTTCGAAGGAGCTGACATAAACCAGAAACAGGGAAAAGACTCCCTATTCAATAAATAGTACTGGGATAACTGGCTAGCCATATGCAGAAGATTGAAATTGGACCCTTTCCTTACACCATGTAAAGAATCAAATCAAGATGAGTTAAAGATTTAAACGTAAAACCCAGAGCTATAAAAACCCTGGACGGTAACCTAGGCAGTACCATAATTCTGGACATTGGAATGTACAAAGATTTTATGATGAAGACACCAAAAGCAGTTGGAACAAAACCAAAAATTGAAAAATGGAATCTCACTAAATGTAATAACTTTTGCATAGCAAAAGAGACCATCAACAGAGTAAACACACTACCTACAGAATGGGAGAAAATTTTTGCAAACTACACGACTGACAAAGGCCTAATATCCAGTATTTGTAAGGAACTTAAACAAATTTGCAAGAAAAAAACCCACAACCCCGTTAAAAAGTGGGCAAAGGACATGAGTGGACACTTTTCCAAAGAAGACATTCATATGGCCAACAAACATATGGAAAAAAACCTCAATATCACTGATCATTAGAGAAATGCAAATCAAAACCACGAGATATCATCTCACAGCAATCAGAATGGCTATTATTAAAACGTCAAAAAATAACAGATGTTGACAAGGTTGTGGAGAAAAGGGAACACTTCTACGCTGTTGGTGGGAGTGTAAATTAGTGATCCACTATGGAAAACTGTGGCAATTCATCAGAGAGCTAAGAACAGAACTACTATTCGATCTGGCAATCCCATTACTGGATATATACCTAGAAGAATATAAATCATTCTACGATAAAGACATATGCATGTGAATATTCCTCACAGCATTATTCACAACAGTAAAGACATAGAATCAACCTAAATGCTCATCAATGACAGATTGAATAAAGAAAATGTGGTACATATACACCGTGGAATACTATGCAGCCATAAAAAGAACAAGATCATTTCATTTGTGGGAACATGGTTGGACTGGAGGTCATTATTCTTAGCAAACTAATGCAGGAACAGAAAACCAAATACCAGATGCTCGAACTTGTGAGTGGGAGCTAAATGAGGAGAATTCATGGGCACAAAGAAAGGAACAACAAACACTGGGACCTACTTAAAGGTGGAGTCTGGGAGAAGGAAGAGTAACAAAAAAATTAACTATTGGGTACTGGGCTTAGTACTCGGGTCTGTACAAGAAACCCCCATGACACGAGCTTACCTATATAGCAAACCTGCACATGCACTCCTGAACCTCAAGTAAAAGTTAAAAAATAATAGTATTTAATTTATTTTTCTTGCAAAGCACATGGAACAATTTCTTGGTTGATATTCTGAATCTAGTTGTATGTTCCACTGATTCACATATGAGAGTAGCTACTATCAATCCTACTTTTCTCTCATCATCTCTTTTGGGTACCAGAGCTATATTGGGACCCAGTGAAGGGGAAGTGGCATTCTTAAATAACCTGGGGTTCAGGATTGGAGGCAGCAAATAACTAGGGCCAGTTTTCAGAAGTTGACTTCAAAGAAGAACTCATTTCCAGTTGGAGCACAGACTTGGCTGAAGGCCTTCTGCTGCAAGTCTTCTGCTGCAAATTTCTTCTTCAGATAGCCAAATAATCTTCATTTGTATTAATATGCTTTCTATATTTTAGAAGGCAAATCTTTCTAAGGGTTCTAGAAACTCAGCATTCATACATTGGTATAAATTGCTTACTTGAATTCAATAAGTTATTACTCTCTGGAATTCTACATTATGAAACCTATACAAATATATGATAGATGAAACAGAAGGGTAAACCACTGACACCTATAAATAATAATAAAGTTGATTAAAATTACAGCTACATATATTTTGTGCTGTAATTAATATTTGTTCTCTATTCTTCCTCCTATGGAGAAAAGCAAATGAGTGTTTTTAATTCTTATATAAACATGATTTCCAACTCTCACTTATGACTATAAAAAATATGTTCTGTCAAGAATAGTCAGAATGTTCTCACTATTCAAATTTGTTTTTGAATTATTAAAGCCTCCTTCTGGAATCTGTGCTTCCTAGTTATTTCAGTGATGTTTCCATGTCATGGTCTCCATCTTTTGTCTCATCATCCTCTTTTCTATTTCAAAACATTGTAATACAAAGTTTGTCTCCACTATTTTCTCAAATCACTTTGCTCAGCAAAATAATGCCTTCATGTTAGTCAAATTTGAAGGTCTCCTCTATGTTCTCATACACTCAATTTTATTGCAGAATTGAATCATCTTCTCCATATCTTTGATTCAGTGTTTTTTGCTTCCATCTCTTAGAACACCTGATTTACTTGCTTCTCTTCCAATGCCCTTTGTTCAAAATTTAGAACAATTCCTTAATGATACTTCCACAGTATGAGATCACTCCAGTCAGAATGGCAATCATTAAAAAGTCAGGAGACAAAAGATGCTAGAGAGAATGTGGAGAGATAGGAACACTTTTACATGGTTGGTGGGAGTGTAAATTAGTTCAACCACTGTGGAAGGCAGTGTGGATATTCTTCAAGGATCAAGAATCAGAAATACCATTTGACCCAGCAATTCCATTACTGGGTATATACCTAAGGGAGTATCAATCATTCTATTATAAAGACAAATGCACATGTATGTTTATTGCAGCAGTGTTCACAATAGCAAAGACTTGGAACCACTGCAAATGCCCGTCAGTGATAGATTGGATAAAGAAAATGTGGCACATATACACCATGGAATACTACACAGCCATAAAAAAGGATGAATTCATGTCCTTTACAAGGACATGGATGAAGATGGAAATCATCACTCTCAGCAAATTAACACAAGAACAGAAAACCAAACACTGCATGTTCTCACTCATAAGTGGGAATTGAACAATGAGAACACATGGACACAGGGAGGGGAAGATCACACACCAGGGACTGTTAGGGGGTGGGGTGCTAGGGGAGAGGCAGCATTAGGGGAAATACTTAATGTAAATGATGGAGTGATGGTTGCAGCCAATTACCATGGTGCGTGTATACCTATGTAACAAACCTGCAAGTTCTGCACATGTACCCCAGAATTTAAAGTATAATAATAATAACAATAATAAATACTTCTGCAGCTTAAATTAGTGGTTCTCAGCTTTGGTTGTACATTAGCATCACTTGGGAAACAATGAAATACTAATGATGGCTGGGTACCATCCCAAGAGGTTCTGAATTAATTATTCTGAGGTACAGTCTGAGTATTTGGAGATTTTATTAACAGGTCTCCAGATGATTTTGGCATTCTGCCAGGACAGAAAACAATCTTAAACTGTAACCAGATTTCAAGGAAGGCTATTATTTTTTCTTTGAGGTTCAAACAAAATTGATTCAAACTCCTGCTCCATGGGAAGCCCCAGGTCCTCCTTAAATAACTTTGAATCCTGGGGATTGTCATTCTTGAGGTCCTTTCTGGTCACAAATTTGTAACTTTCTTAACATTTCATTTCATTTGCATCTCACCTCCTAAACCAAATGGCCCTTTTACTTCTGCTCTCCACAAATCAAGATGCAGAACTTGGACCCCTTTCCTTGCCATCCCTGAAGTACACAAAGAAGACATTTTCAAGGTGCTAGACTTTTCTGAAGATTTGGGTCAACGTAAAGGTTTTACATTCAAGCAAATAAGCTTGGACAATTTCTCTGTAGACTCTTAGCTTCCTGCCATACACCTGAGGTTACTCTTGGCTGAAAAACCTTTCTGTTATGTTAATTATCTCCATATTCGAAGTAATTTACATTTCCATCCCTTTTAGCTTAGTATCAGTCTTATCAGTCTCTGAAAATGGAATAGAGTCGTGTATAGGTTAATTTTTTCTCTAATATAAATTATATCTCTTTATGAGGCAACTGCAAAGCCAGTAGACTGGGAGAGATATAGAAGAGGAGGTTGAAAAAGGAAAAGAAAAAGCTCTTACTCACAATGTATTTCAACCCCTGCTCCTGCCCAAGTCATAAAGAAATCTAATGCCAGAAGAGACACAAACAGAATCAAGAATCAAACCAATAAATTAATCCAGATAAAAAATATTTGAAATAAATGTGCTTTGGGTGTTCAAAGTGATGAATTAGGCCTGGTTTCCATTTTTAAAAGACAGCAAATTATTAATTAACAGAAAAATGAAACAAGTAGACATTAAATATAATTGATTATACTTCTTAGAAATAAAAAAATATAGTTATTGAAATAAAAATGTAGTTACTTCAGTTATTCATTGCAGGGCAAGAAACTACTCCCAAATTTAGTTGCTTAAAACAAGTCTTCTCATGTTTCTATGTTGGGACCTTGGGCAGTGGTCAGTCAGGAACATTGGCTGAGGTGCCTTATTTAGCTGCAGTCAGATGGTGCCTGGGCAGTGCTAGAAGGTCCCAAAAGTCCCTCAATCACAAGTCTCAGGCCTTTGCCATGTTGCTTTTTTCTCTCTACCTGGTATTTCATCATTCAGTAATCTAGCTTATGCTTCTTTCAAGCATGGTGGCTGGTTTAACTGGAGAGAATATGAAAGCAAAAAATGCAAGGAGTCTTGAAGAATTGGCATGGGCACAGTGTCACTCTGTCACAGTCTACTGGTCAGCTGAGTATAGGACTGATCTAGGTTCATGGGGAAGGAACACAGCTCAATGTCTCCCTGGTAGGATTGGTAAAGTCTCATGGCAAAAAGCATGTGGGAGGGGAGACGGTGCTGTGTTTATCTTTGGAAACACAATTTTGCTACAAAAGACTGAATAAATTTTATAGGAAAAATAATAAATTGGAAGGAATGATCCCAAAAATCAGCATAAAAAAATATAAATAAAATGAAAGAGCAGCTAAGAGAAGAGATTGATAGGAAGAATAGTTGAGGGAATGACAAAGAAGCAATATTTAGTGAGATTGTTGCTAAACTTTTTCCCAACTGAAGAAAATGATGGGCCCAAAGATCAAAGTAACTCTGACTAACAAAATAAATAATGATAAATTCATGCCTAGAAAACCATAGCCGAACTTAAAAATGTCAGAATTACAAAAAAGTTGTTTAAAGCTACTGGATATTTACCCTATAATAAAATGAGAAATAAACTGATAGATTGCAGAATGCAATGGAATATTTTCAATGTACATAGAGACATATAGATCTTCAATCTAGAATTTGATAGGCAACTAAGCTATAAATCTGTAATGTTGGCAAAGGTAAGTCATTTTTAGACATTGCGTTAAAGAGTTTATGATCCATAGACACCAGTTAAATTTGCAAGATGAGACATGAATGAAGACAAAGGATGCGACAAACAACAGCAAACTTAGAAACTGATCATGTATTGGTAAATTTAATTATGTACAGTTAAAAAAACCTGCAGTTAAAAAAATTCTCTATACTAATATTTTAAACAAAATAATATGACGGGGCATGGTGATGTCAAAGACTGCTATGTTGAGAGGAGGATCAGAATGTGGAATAACAGCATTGTTAGAACAATACGTGGCTAATTATACATGTTAAGATAAAGATCTAAGCTTTAAAAACTAGCATAGATCTAAGCAGAAAATATAGAATACTTTAGCAAATCAACCAAAGGCAATGAATTAAAAAGAAAAGAAAGAGGAAGAGATAATTAACAGAAAACACAAAATAAAGATGTTAGAAATAAGTCCACATATATCTGAAATCTTAATAATATTAATCGAGTAAATTCACCTATTAAAGAATGATGGTTAGATTAAATTATTAGATTAAAATTAATTAAAATTAATTGGTAAGTAGCTTTAGGCTACTTACAAATAAGAAGTTGTGTAGCAATGCATAGAAACTATAATTTAAAGCAGAAGGTATGAATAGAGTTAGTGACACTACAAAATAATACAATGAACAGTCCATTACAAAGATAATAATAATCATAACTGTTTTTTGTACACAATATAGCCTCATATAAAGCCAAAGTTGACAGAATTAGAAAGAAAATTGGACAGGCACACAACTAGAGTGAGAGATTTAAAGGTATTCTATCAGAAGTGGGTAACTTCTGATGTAACAGATGAAACATTAATAAGAGTAAAAAACAGAACTACTTTTTTTGTCCCCATGGGTTCCAGGAGGCCTAAGAGAGTGGCCTTTTCACTGTCATGATTTCTGCTTGGGGCACCTGGATCCCTTCTTTACCCCCTGCACTTGCCTGCAGTTGTGAACTGCCTAAAACACCGATAAAACTGATCATGTTCCAGGTCAGATTAGTCAGCAAATATTTAAAAAGAAAACAT